CCCTTTCAGTCCAATCAGATTAAAGCAAACAGTGAATATTGGTGATATATGAACCAGTTACTAAAGTCCATATTTGTAATTGCTGCTAAGTATGGTTATTAAATCACAGAATAACACGACTGTAAGGGACCTTGGAGGTCTTCTAGTCCAACCTCTCGATCAAGGCAGGAGTCCTTATATCACTATGAATAAAATGTGAGATTTTTTTCTTGAAAACCTCCAGTGATAGAAGTCTCGCAACTGCAGGTAAACTGTTCCACACATTGTTCTCATTGTCAGGAAATTTTTCCTTAGTTCTAGGTTGGATCTTTCTTTAACAATCCCTACCAATTACTTCTTGTCCTCCCTCAGGTGCCTTGGAGAACCACCCATTATTTCTATGACAGCCCTCACGTACTGGAAAATGGCTATCATATCACCCTTAATCCTTTAGTTAAGCTAGACATACCGGTACTTAGTTCCCTCAACCATTCATCATACAGTTTAACTTCCAGACCACTTATCATCTTTATTGTTCTTCTATGCACTCTTTTTAGGGCCTCAATATATTATTTTTGTATCTTGGTGACCAGAACTGAACGCAATATTCCAAGTGTGGCCTCATTAGTGCAATATAAAGTGGTATTATCACTTCTTTTAGGAATATGAGTCACCTAACAGCTATTTGGGTTAGAAATATATAAACCAGGATAAACATTTTAAAACTGTATCTTTAAGAAAATGCAAAACTGGGTGTGGTTTCTCAAACGGCCATAAGATGGAGCCAGAAACCTGGGTTGTTTTAGTTTTAGTCTCAGAAGAGAGTGTGAGTATATATCTGTTTCTTTCTGTTGGAAAGTATTGCTGTTGCTCCATTTCTTCTAATTGACTCCTATTTCTGGATTTAATGTAAGTCTGATACTGAACTGTTTTTTGACACTGGACTTTGATATTTGGATTATCCCTGGATTGAAAACTGACGGATTTAACTTGTGAATGACTTTGGATTGCTTATTTTGGACTTTGCTTAAACGTTTCTGGAAGTAAAAACCTACATTTACTGTACAGTGTATCTGTGTGCTCTGTGTGTATTATTCAAACACTTCTCTCAAATACGCCTCCCTGTATGCGCTCATTTTCCTAACGGGGAATTACCTCAACAACTTCTCATAATCTTAAACCATGGTTCCCAAACCAATAGCAAAGTTCATGTGACAAATAAAATCTGAAGAAACAAACTAAGCAGACCAAATCTAAGCAAATTGTCTGATGACTAAGTATGAAGTGTGAATTCTCCAAACAAGGGTTCGTATCAGGGGTGGGATCTGGCCGATGTAACTACTGGTTCAGTGATGTGCCTGACGCGCACTGTGCACGCGTGTATATCACCATCAACTTGCTGCCTGGACAGCTGAGCAGCATTACGTGTGGGTCTGCAGCCATTGAAAAAGCACTTTTTTCCTGCTTTTTCAACTGCAGCTGTGCCACGCAAAGCAGCCGAGGTTGAAAAAGCAGGAAATAAAGGTCAGATAGGAGCCCGGGTGGGCCAAAACCGGTTCTATGTCGGCTGCTTTTCAGAGCAACCGGTTCTACAGAGGTGGACAGAACCGGTAGAATCCCACCCCTGGTTGGTATTTGCTAGTCAGATAGATTTGTACCAATGAACTTTCCATCCATAGTTTTGGGTGGGAGGGGTTTGTGTGTGTATATGAAAAGTAAATATGGTGACTGCAAACATGTGATTGAAGCCCTGCATGTGCTGTAAAAAAACAACAAGGATTTTGATCACATATGGTAGTTTTGTCCAAAATCATCCACCCATCCCATAGATATTCCTGCCTCCATTACTTTGCCTTTGACTCTGCCAGCTAAGAAAATGAAGCTTCCTTCATTGGCTTTTCTGATCAATTCCTTATAGAAGTCTTTCTTATTTATCTTCAGCTCCTCCTCTTCCTTTTCTATCTCTTCCTCCTTCTTTTTTCATTCTCTTTCTCCGTTTCCTTATCTGCCTTCTCCTTTCTCTCTTCTCTTCCTCCTCCTTTTCTTCCTTCTTTTTCTCTTTTCTTCCTTCTCTTCCTCCTGTTCCTCCTTCATCTCCTTCTTTAAAGTAATGTTATCCTAGTAAGAGGAAAATAGAGACAAAGTCCATGTATATGAACTACTTTGAAATAGGATTGGGTTGGAAAAGGCATAGCAATAAGTGAAAAAAAATGTAAGTGAAAAACTGACCATGCTCAGTTTAGCAATTAGCAATGTAAGGAGATGGGCATGTCACAATTCCCTATCCTTACTTGCTACTGCTTCTCCACTATCCATTTGATATTTGTTAGGGCAGGTTTAAGATCGACCACCCTCAAGACTCAGCAAGAACTTTACTGTCTCTTTAGACAATAAGGAACAGAAATATATCAAAGTTCTTGATTTCCCTGAGATGCAATTAAATCTAATGGCCCCCTTTTGACTCAACTGTATAATGATGGTGTCCATAGAAGATTATCTGGCGAGCTCATTCTATCCAGATTATCAAAATGTTTAATGGATAAGCAAACCCTATATTTAAATGTCTAAAGACAGCTGGCTTCACTGTCAATTATTTTGACTGTTGCTTGCTATTTACTCATCCTGGATGCAATCCTTTTATAAAATCCCATTGGTTTTAGTGGGAACAACTCACCCTGCAATTACTGGGTGGCTGTAACTACTTTGTGTAGTCATTCTGCTTCCAGACCATCGGTTCTCTCTACCTCTTGCCCCTATAAGTTTAGTAAAGCAAAATTCAACATGAGGTATTGCCATACAACAAAACAGAAGAGAATCAAATGATCTGAGTTTTATCCTGCCTGGGTCACTCCAAGTTCAATGCAGAGGACTTTTATAACCCTAAGAATGGCAGATATGTAATGTCTTATTGATTTCTGTATTTTGTCTACTGCCTCAGTCACCAAGAGAGGGGGCATGTTTCACCCTCACTTAAAACCTTCAACTTTTTTGTGTGGTTTGAATTTGGTGGTCTTGTATGAGCCTAGTGACTTGTGGACAATTGAATAATTAGCATCATGAAGTGTGTCAGAAATGAAACGTTTCTGAGAAAAGTATTTCAGTGCAAACAATTGGTTAGGACGTACATATTTATTATTATAATTGCTTTAATAAAACCTATTAGCAAACAGATACAATGTCCATTTATAGGAACCACTTTAAGATGGGATTGTATTGGAAGCAGAGTAGAAATAATTGGGGGAAAGGTTGTAAGTGAAAAAACCATGACTAACCGTTGAATAGAAGATCTGTCTGTCTATCTATCTATCTATCTATCTATCTATCTATCTATCTATCTATCT